ATAGATTTATATACAGACACAGATACACATACAGACAGATGGCAAAAGCAAAAGAATTTAAGGGGCTTTTTTAGTAGAAAAATATTTGTGTGCCAGAGCATTTAATAGGTTAATAATGCGAGTATCTCAAAGCAACTTCATTGTGTAGCCGTCTGTGTGTGCCGCACCGTTAGCCGTTCCACTCACCACATAACACAGTCTGCAGTCAGCGAGCTCTCACTTAAAAAGGCAACAAGAAATGAGTTCAAGTTTTTGCGCCATCTTCGGATTACGTAGCCGACCCTCTGCCCCTGCGTGCCCTGCCCCACCGTTTGGCAGCGCTGCGTTAACCTTTAAGAAAGGCAGCCAGGCGTGAATTGTGCAGCAGCTGCAATAATTGCTTGGCCTAAGTTAATTACACACAACAATGTGAACTTTAAGTCGTTGATTAGATATCGCGAAACTGAGGGAGGCGTCAAATTGCAAAATTACGAAAGAGGAATGAGTTAATCAAATACGAAACATAATTCATCCCGCTGACCATTTGGCAGGGCTTCAAGTTGGAAATTATCTGAAAATTAATTTTGAGCATCGCTTCGTATCTATTGTGAGCTAATAGACAGCCAGGAGACATCTCCAAGTATCGCTTAACCGCGTTCTGTAACCATCTGGCAGCCCTGTTCATCGAGCTTGTGATTGAGAGCAATTATCGCCTGTCTGGCATTGTCTGTTTAGTGAAATATGAAAACTAGATGAAGACAAATCACACCTCCAAGTGTCTTTCTATGGATTAGATTATCTATCTGGCAGCCCTTTATGTTAATCTTGTGCTTGAGTTAATAAGCAGACAATATTAAAAGAAATATTAAAAATTCAGCTATCTGGCAACGCCCTTCATAAAGCTTGAGTTGAATAGTTCATCCATCTGGCAATGCGTTTCGTAAAGTGTGTTGTGTACATAAGCAGGTAGTAAAGATTTATTTTTAATGTTATATGAAAACTATTTATAAACAAGTGCATCTATCTGGCACGCTGTTCATAAAACTTGTGGCTGAGTTAATAAGCAGGTAGTTGGCTGATCTAATCCGGTAGTAAGGATTTCTGCTATAAGTTACGAGCATATATTATGAAAACTATCTGGCAACGATTTTCAGAAACTTTGTGTTTAGTTAATTGTAGTTATATTTTGGTGAAATAGTTTACACATCTGGCAACGCTTTTCATGTGTAAATACGTTGGGGGACACCATAAGGGATTGCCGCCTTTGCCACTTAGTATAACAAATAGGAAATGAATCGCGCATCTTTTGAAGTTGATGTTAAGATAGATAGTATTTATCAAGTTTTTCGCACTGTGTACACACTGCGAGAACACTTTTCTGATACCATTTAAAAATAATATTAAAAAAATAAACATTTAAAAGCGGCTGCTGCCCCAAGTGTTAATCAATGACAAAACGAACGACTTATGCAATGCTCCAGGGTAGGGCACATCGAGTAAAAATCAAACTGATTGTTGGACTTGGGCTATCAGTTCGCGGCGTTTAAGCGGTTTTTTCCTTCTATTTTTCAGATACCACAACATGAATGGCAGCGTGAAGGGTAATGGGTACGGGGTAAGGGGTACAGGGGTACAGGGGAACAGCTGAACAGCTGAACCACCAGCAAGTAGCGCCAGGCGTGAGATTTGAACTGCTAATCAGACGATTCTACGGGTATTGCGTCTTAGATTGTTGTTCGTGGGCTCCTGTTGGCATTGCTATAAATAAATGACATAACGGCGCCTTACAAGTGACAACAAGTAAAACAATAACAAATACAAAATAAAGCTAAAATAAAAACAAAACGTCGCTGGAAACTTTTGGTAGAGCAGCAAACAAAAATCAAATAAATTAACAAAATAAATACACTAAGGGAAAACTATGTGAGAGTTCGTGTAGTATTTAAGGCTTGCGCTATTTATGATATATGACACGTGGTTCTCGGTTTATTTTTAGTGATTTAGTGATTTTTTTATTAGGTATTTATGATATATATAACTATTTTGGACATACCGTTTGTGCCAAAGCTTACATCTACGCGATCTATAAAAATACAAATTTGTAAGCAATTTTCCTGCTCATATCACTGGGCTAATAATATCAAAGTCTTATCATATCTCTGTATGGCTTGACCAGTTCGCAAATGTCGAATATTTCCTCTATTCTCGATTTGTGTAATCGTAAATATGTTTATGGCATAAAATGATATACATCGTATTTAATTGGTCAATCTGTGACGATGCTTTTTAAAATTGATCAAATATTTTTTGAAATTTAATTTGTACATTGCAAAGCTTAAATGTTTATTTCGATAAATATCGATAAATATCAATAAATCTCCGTGATTCAAGGTTCTTTAATGACCACCCATTTCCCAACATCGATAAATATCGAAAGTCTTGGGTTACTTCCAGCCCGACTTTGTGATTCTTTAATGGAGAAATTTTCCTTAAAATCGATAAATATTGACTTATATATTTTATAATCTTGGACTATTTTCAAAATCGACTCAATGATGTGTTAATAATCAAACTTATACGAAAATCGGTAAATATTGATTTATAGGCTGGGTGTTTTAATCAACAACCCTTTCGCAAAATCGATAGATATCGATTACTAAAATATTTTATAACCTTGGGTTACTTTAAGCCCGACTCAATGGTGTATCAATGACCTATTTTTGTCTAAAATCGATAAATATGTTATCGATAAGTATTGGTTTCTTTATATGCTGTGTGTTTTCCAATTCAAGCTGCTCATAAATACAATTATTGTGTTCCGTTTTATTGTTTTTTTTTTTAAAGCTCCTACTAATTGCTAATCGCCGTGCTTTCTCATCACGCTTTTGTTTATTTGTTTAGCTAATGACGTTATTTTTTGTTTTCTTTTGCCTCTTTTTGAGTGTGAATTTTAATTGATTTTGTCTGCCACCTTCACACATAATTTATGAAAAGCGAAAGTTAAAAGAGAAGAATCAAGCGCCTGTCTGTGTCATAGGTTGTGTTGGTGTGTGTGTGAGTGTGTGTGTACGAGTTGGCAACGATTTTCATTAAGGTTGTTGCGGTTAGCTTAAGCGAAGATTTCCTGCAATTTTCTTATTTATGATTCTACACTTCAATTGAAATTGGAATACCGAGGCCTGAAAATAGTTTTGCGAATCAGAGACCCGCATGGCCCAGCCTCAATTTGCGTGCAAGCGTGTGTGTGTGTGTGTGTGTGTGTGTGTGTGTGTGTACGTGTGGGAGTGTACGCAGATGCTCACCACATTCTAATTACATGCAAAAAAGAAGGTCTTTCGCTTAAAATATCCCACTTCCTAACGATTATTATCTGGCATAAAGTCTTGGTATTTCTTTGTTTACGTTTGCCACCCACTAAACCTCAGTATAAACTGGCATATGCTTATCGCTCTGGATTTTAAAATATATTTTTGATGAAATGCCCCAAAGATAGACACCCAACTCGGGCACGGAACCACGGGGACACGCGGGCAGGGGCGGGGCGGGGGCGGGCTGCAAGCGTTAAGGGCCCCTTATAAAATCAAATGTTATTGCTTAGATAGCGCAGCTTGTCTAAAACGATATAGATAAGCGGATACTAACACTATGATTGGCTGAGTTAAGAAACTGCGTTTTAAATTTTCATAATTTTATATATTTTTTATTGTCTTGTGTTTTTTCCAGCTGTGATTTTCCCAGCTGGTGACACTGAAGTGCTTGGCTAGCCTCTACACATACTTATATATATATATATTTTTTTTTTGAGCATTTTTTGTTCAAGTTTTGTTGATGGTCATTTAAATGAATGATAATCACGCGCTTGTGTATAGATTTCAAGGAAACGGTATATGCTTAAACCTTATCAGAGTGAGACTGTCCGCAGATCGGTTTGCTTAAGCAAATATCTTTTGAATAAATCTGAGGTTAATGTGAAAAGAACCTTAAATAATTACATAGAATATACTTGAAAACTACTCTTCAATTATGGAATAATCTTGGTGCAAAATGTTTTCACGATTCTTAGATAAACTTTTGGGGAATATAGAAGAAATATAGATATATACATAGAATTTAAACTAAAAACTTGCAAATTTCCTGGCTGATAGACAGGTCGGTAAATACATAAGTAGGTATATAGACAATGTCAAGAAGTATATGTAGGTAAGGCATAGATGAAGCCACCTTCAAACCCATTAAGTATGTATATACTATAGATCGGTTGAAAACTAAGTTAGGGCATGGAACAACTTTTTTGATAAAGATATAATATCTTTACCAATCTCGGCATATGCAAGTTTAACAATGACCCTTTCACGCAAAGAATCAGTGGAAACATGGGATTTATATGAAGAATTTTTGCATTTTTAAGATATCTGGACCAAACTCTGCAATTAAGAGCTTCACAATTCTACTCACATGTCAGTAAATTATATTTATTTTCGGTGTATTATATTTTCAGTGTATCAAATAAAGCTGCACTTGCTCGTTTTTTACTTGTTCCAAATCTTGAGATTGTCGTTCCCCTTGCTAGCACTCAATCATTTTCAACTGTATGCATAATTATGGCGGCCACTGTAGCCAGCTCGTGACCCAATAAGGAAGCCTGACAGGTGGATAGTCGGACAGTCGGATAATCGGATAGTCGGCCTGCTGGCATGCCTCTAATCAAAGTGAGTGCTCTCTAAGTAGTGCACATACGTGCATACAATTTAATATGTGTGTGTGTGTGTGTGTGTGTGTGTGTGTGTGCGCTTGCTTGTGTGTATAGAGGGCAGCTAACAGCTGATTAAGATACTTGGAGAAATCTGGCGATGACGTTGCGACTGTGACTTATGAATCATTGTGAATGGGCGTGCGATTTGTGCGGAATTTTATAAGCAGCAGCGCGACGAATGTTTTAATGAATCAGCGTGCGATTGTTGTTGATATTGTCGCTGTTGCTCATGTGCTGCTGTTGTTATTGCTGCTGTTGTTGCACTTACCTTCGATGCATGAAGAACTAACAAAACGGTGCCAGGACGAATCGTTGCCAGCAGCATTTGTGCGCTTCTGCATGTTGTAAGCGGCGGCGGCGGCGGCGGCGGCGGCGGTCCCTTGCACATCCTGACGCTTGTTGTTGTAGCGCGACTTGCGTGTCGCTTTGCTGTTGTTGCTTTGCTGATGTTGCTGCTGCTGGTAATTATTGCTTGCAGTTGTTGCCGCTGCTGTTGCTGCTGCTGTTGCTGTTGCTGCTGGGCCATGGCCAGCAGCCGTTGCTAAGTTGCCATTGGCGTATTTCTGTGCGCAGCGTTTGCTGTTGCTGTTGTTGCCGCTATTGTTGTTGTTATTGTTTTGGCTGTTGTTGTTGTTGTTGTTGGTGTTGTTGTTGTAACGTTGCATGTTGTCATCTGCGAGAAAGAAAGAGAATAGAAAGAGAATATGAGCATTAGCCAATGCCGTTTAACAGTTGCTGTGTATGTGTGTGTCTGTGTATGTGTGTGTCTGTGAATGTGTGTGTGTGTGTGTGACTTACAAATCTTGTATAGCTGCATTTGCAATAAGTCTTCGAGATACAAATGCATGCCACTGTTGAATACATAAATGCGCACAGTTTCTAAAGGCGGTTTGGTTTCGAAGTGTATGATTCGTTTCTCAACAAATAACTTTTGCTTAATTCACGGCTCTCAATCGATACTCGATACTTGATACACAATTCTCGGCTCGCCCGCTTGCACTTGCAACTCAAATCAAACTAAATGGCGCGTTTAGCGACGAGCGCGATATAAACAATATGTATAAGAATCTGGCAGTAAAATAAACACTAAAAGAAATGGGAGAGGAACGAAAAAAAAACAATACAAAAACAAAAATCAAAAGCAAAAAAACCCAGTAATACGATTCAAATCGAGCTGAATTGCACGCTGCTATCGATGACGACACAGTGAATCACACCAGAGCGTGAATCGACGCCTGTGACGACAACAACAACAGCAGCAACGGCAGCAACGGCAGCAGCAACAACAACCAACGTGCTTGATAAGTGTTCCCCAACAGAAATGCCAGTGGCCTGGGCCAAAGCCAGCGCACTTCCCGCCTCGCGGCCCCCCTAGATAAGTTGCCGTTGTTGTTGCTGTTGGGTTTTTGCACGTGCTGCACACGCCTGTTGCCGCCGTCACACAGATACACAAACAAACACGTAGTGCAGCCAGCTGCACAATTGGCGGGAGAGAAGTTTCCACTCGGTGGCTTTCTTACAGTGCCGTCGTTTTCAGGGTTTTGCTCTCTCTCTCGCTCTCTCGCTCTCTCTCTCTTGTCGTTGCTTTTGTGGGTGTGTAGATCACAAGGTTGTGGCTTATATTCTCTGGCTTAGTGCGAGTACATTACAAATTTTAATGAACAAAAACAAAAAAAAAAAAAAGAAAAAAGGAAGGAAAATAGAATTTAGATAATGATAAAAACGGTGCGGCTTGTACGGAAAATTTACTAGCTAGTAACGGTTGAACACATATCGACTATATAGAACATTGACAAATACTTAAAATGCTATAAATATACAATATATATATAATATATACATACTTGTATGTGTGTAGGTGACATCTATCGGGCTACTGCTCTTTGCATATTTCAAAATCAAGCTTTAAGTCAAGTGCTTGTTTTTTTTTTTGAATAGTCAGTAAAGTCGCGCAAGGTAGATGGAACGAATAGAGTAACAAGACGACCCTATACATGGTTTGGTACTCTACAATAAGACTAATGTTGAGCTTGAGATTTTCCAAATACATATCTTGTATGAATCTTAACTAATTCGAACTACTCTATTATGTATGTAGCTATATAGAAAATATTAGTCGAAAATGAGCTACTTTGAACTAGTTGAAGAGACTGGAAGGTCCAGAAAGAAAGAGCGTAACTTTAAAATTCCAAGATACAGTCAGAACGGAAAAGCTTCAGCGTTAATCCGCATTCTGAGAAAGTAAGTATATATGGTCTGATTACAGAACGTATTATTCATATTTATGTATGTATATGGTACTGCCAGTTGAAAAAATATTAAAATAAGTTTTCATCTGATTCGAGCTTCCAGTTAAAAATGAATTTTGAATTCGTTGGCGATTCACAACAACAATTCTGGTAACTATGCACATACATACATACATACATACATATGTATATACATTTGGAGCTCATCGTTAGTCCCCGGTCTGGGGCCACACCTCCTTTTGCTTTGCTTTCACTGTCATGGAATTTCTGCTATTTCGGCTGCTTAGAAAGGCGAATATAACGGCACATAGCCAAAAACAAAAATAAAAACAAAAAATGCACACTTAATAAACAAAAACGGCGAAAAAGTAGCTACAAAATTCAAAAATAAACAAATACATATTCCTCAACAGAAAAAAAAAACAACTAAAAAACGAAAAACAAAAACTGACCAAATAAAACAAAATAACCGAAAATTAAAAATTAAAATAAATACAAGAAAAAAGCTAAGCCAAAAGCGACTACAACAAACAGGTACCAGCTTGTGCCTAGCGCCGCTCCATGTGACTGTGCGTGTGTGTGTGTGTGTGTGTGTGTGTGTGTGTTTCTTTAAAATCCACCCACCACGCCTACCCCGTCAGCCGATTTTGACGTTGCAAAAACAAATACAGTGATAGATTCTTGAAATTGTAGCGTAATTTTTGGCGAATTCAATATTTAAATGCAAATCAAAAAAACAAAAGCATCTAAACACCTGCCCCACCCCGCTCCTTAAATTCCCAACCTTTTGATCACGCTTTACGGCACCGCACGCCCCGGCCGGCAGTTAGGCGCTTTGATTTATGAAAGAAAAGACGGCGACGACCGATCGTATCGGATCGAATCGGTTAGCATCGTGCCTGAATGGAATTGCGTAGTGGGTAAAGCCAGCGACAGCATTGACAAAACAAAAAACAAAAAAGCCGAAAACTGGTCACATTGATATTGGAATACCCTACTTTTGCTTTATATCGAGCGAAAAAATATAAAGCAAATAAATTAAAACTTATGTACACACATATGTATGTATGTATAGGAATTATACATACATACACTTACTTTACAGTATGCAAAAACTTGGGCATTTTGTTGGGCTCAAGCTCTATGGCATTTTTATAGGACTCATGTTCTCGTTCTTTCACTGCCCCCTTTCTCTCTCTCCCTGGTACAAAAACCGTATGAAGCCAGTTTTCAAAAAAAGATTTCGCATTCGAAATCAATGCAAAATCACCCATTAAAATGTGTCATAACTTTTAATGTGATATCAGCGCGAGTTCGTTGAATTGCCTCAGCTACAAACACACACATACAAGCATATGCAAATGCATGCGCACACACACACACACAGGCGTTTGCCTTGGCATCCCTGGTTTGCAGCATTTTAGCCCATTTGGCGGCACTGTTGCAGCTTTGGCAACGTTGCCAAAACGGAAATGCATTGCAATGCAAACGGCGCGTGTTTCTATTTGTGGCAACAAAATACAACATCATGATCGGCATGATCGTTACGCTGACTGTAATGATCATTGGCATCATTCATAAGTTCCCATAGACTGCGTGTGTCTATATGCATATGTATGCGTATATGAATATGTAAGCGCTTGCATGTGTGCGCGACCAAAGTTGAATGAATTCCACGAAGAGGAAGCGCGAGCAAGAGGCAAAAGCGCACAGGCAGACGCAAACGCAGACGCAGACGCGAAGCCATCGAACCAGCCGCTCGAATTACAGAAACTGAGCAAAAAGGGAGCTGAACCGAACCGAACGGAACTGAACTGAAGTGAAGTGAAACCAACAAAAGAGATCATTAAGGGAACAGCCACAAAAGGAGACGCGAAAATTGAGCAAAAAAAAAAAACCCCAAAGAAAAAAATAGCACTAAAAAAATACAATTTTTCGCATGGCAACACACAAAAGCTAAACTACGACGATGTTGATGATGATGAGCGCAGGCGCACGCTCCAGCCAGCCCCCCTCGAGATAGACATGCACATACACACACACACACATGCAAACAGACACACACACACACACATAAGCACATGTGTACAGCAGGGGCCATGTGCAGCGAGTAAAGCAGTTCACGAGGGAAAGAGAGAGAGAGAGAGCAAAATAAATTCTTAGAGGCCGTTATATTGAACAAGGACAAAGTGTAAAAGAGAAAAATAGCCTTGAAGAGGAAGCATTTAGCGCGGACAGTAATAATTAAGTTAGCTAGCTATTAATTTAGTTAACACAATGTGTAAATCTGTTTTAATAGATTGTAGATAATATAAATATATATATGTACATACATAAGTTAATGCCAGATATTCCATTAAACTTCATTAGTTTAATAGAGTGACTTGCTCAAAGTTTCAAACTCCGAACCTATGTGATGTGCCAAGTATTTAAGATTCTGTCGCGTATTTCGGCTTATGGCTTATGGACCCTAAACAAGTTTCCCACCGAATAGACAAATGTGTTTAATAACTTATGTGCGTAGCGTTTTTTTTTTTTCTTTCTTTCTTTCTTTAGGGGTGCTGAACTTCGAAATATGCCGAACTTGTTTTCGAAGTTCAAGCGCCCCCAAACACGCGTGGTATACGCTATATGTTCATAATGATATTAATAATAAAAGAAGAATCATGGCCTTCCTGGAATCTCAACTAGCTGACTGACAAATTTAACTGCCAGTTAACTTATGCATTGATAAACTCTTTCTTTGAATCTTTACGTATGCGATGCTTAAAAGAGCAGCATAGGGAAAAACTTGATATTTGGTTACCCGGTTACCCGGTTACCCGTTTAATAACCGTTTTGTTTCTTTCGATGCGATTAGATTATAATTGTAATAGGTTGAACGATAGACGGAGTGGATTTTGCGCTATTAGAACCGGAAATTTTAATGCCCCTTTATTGTATTGTATAATTGTGAGTCGAGCCATAAAAATAAATCCACTGAAAATTAAGCTATTCGCATTCAATTACGTGCCCCCCTTCCCCAACAAAGTCAAGCCCAGTCACAATGCGGCAGACCGAGGAAGTGTTGTTGTGTGAGAGGGGAGAGGGGGGGGCATTTGTATATTGTGGCCGCATCACAAAACGAATTAAGACACATGTAAGACAAAATACAGGAAGAATTTTTTTTTTTTTTCAGACATGCTACGTGGGGTGAGTACGCGACTTGGCAATGGGATCGAGCGCCGTGTGATTGAGGTTGGGGTTGGGGCTGGGGTTGCGGTTGGGGCTCTGCCGCTGACGTGATTAACCGGGCCAAAGCAGCTGCTAATCAGCTTATTGCCAGGAAGAAGCTCATGCAACTTGGCGCTGTGACGCTCGTCGCTAGTCAATTATTTGATTTAATGCTTCGCTGAGTGCCACGCCCCAAAGCCAGACCCAGTAACAAGACAGCGACAAAATACATACATATGCATATTCTGATTTCAGATTACAATTAAACAAAACCAAAAGCGTGGATCGTGGTTGTAGAGGGCGTTGCTACGTGTGGGCTGGGCAGCAGGAACGGGGAGAGGGTTGTCAATCAAGCGCACTTAAATAAAGTTCGCAGTTGCTGTTGTTGTTGCTGCCAGCAAATCGATAAACAAATCACTTCCGATGACGACATTGAGCACATGGCGTATGAGCAACGCGCGATAGCGCCAACAAAAGCAATAATAAAAGAAAAAAAGCTAGGCCCGCACACTCCACACCTACTACCCCCTTGTCCGCCCGTTGTCACCCGCTGCCCCTCTTCAATACAAGGCGGGATCAGTACGGAAGTTGTGCTAGGTTGGCCAGTGTAGCCATGCGTGGGAATTGCCGCTTATCGCGCGTCCAAGTGTTGATAACCGTTTGACTAATGCAAAGGCCAGCACCAAGTACAAGAAGTAGCAGAGGTAAAAGAAGCAGAAGAAGATGAGCACACATAGCGGCATGAGTTATTGCTGGCCATGAATATGGTTTGGATAGCAGAACTCTATGCAGAATCCCAGGCAAAATATAATTGATAGCTGCTTTCGATCTTACTACTGTCTGCACGTTTTACAACACTGTTACAGCTAGATGAGAATTCAATGAAAAAGTTGGTATGTTTTATGGCATAGCAAATATGAGCACATATTATTTATAGAATTTGGTTTAATCGATTTCGCTGAATTTAGAGGGTTTTTACTTGGCGAAATGCTATAAGAATTTCTGTGTAGATGATTCACGAATATTTTGAAAAACAATAGATAATGCTGTCAATGTCAATATCATGGCATTTAAAATTTCTGGACAACATCATGCTGAGAACTAAACTAAATATTTATATGTTGTATGTGTTGCAACTTATCTAACAGTGAACATACATATACAATACTCTTGTTCTCAAGCCTCGATTGCGTTAGATTTTGACTAGCTTAAGTAAAACTTTTTCGAATCAAAGATAACCCCAACTGTGCCCGTTTTTCAATTTTTCAATTACTTTTTATGAACCGCCCGCACGATATCACGAATCAATATCGTATAAATAGGCGCAATGGGGCAATATTATTAATGGTATGAGCACTTTGATAAATTGGGCAATTGTGGGAGAATGGTCTGCGTCATTTGGCCAATATGAATGTGGGCCGGCTTCTGGGCGAGAACTGTTGGCACTTTAGGCAAGGGGGCGAATATTTGGCATATCATTCACAATTGTTATTAATTTGAAACATTATGGGATGCGCTGTTTACACAAATCCGAATCCAAATGAAAAAGAAAACCAAAACTAAGCAAATACCAAAAAGTAAAGCGTGGACGACAAGCGCATACCCTGTAATTAGTTCAAGAGTTCTGATTACTAACCGTTAGTTAACATAATGTCAAACACATAACATATCGAGTTAACAGTTTGTATATCTACATTGAACATCACACTAGCGCATATACCCGCTTTACATTATACTCAGGGTATATGCATACATGAAAGACTAATTGTAGGGAGGCTTGCTTTAATTTTGGCATTGGATCGCATTTAAAAGATATGTATATATTTATCTATGTATGTATGTATATGCATTGTATATATGCCTACGTTTAAGATCGAAATAAATAGATCTACAATTTCGGCATATTTTCGCGCTAAGCGGCAAAATAGTTGGGATGATGGTGCCGTCCGCGTGCTGCCTGTCACAATTTTATGATGCTGACAGTTTTTTTTCCCGTCATTTCTCTTTTCTGACATTCAACAGAATTGAATAAAACAGCTTAAATACTGATTTATGTGTGTGTGTGTCAACACAAGATAATAAACTCTACAACTAACAAGTTCCAGTTAAAACTGCATTTAAGAGTATAATTAACAGATCATAAAGTACAAAAGATACGGAACGCGTGAGAGCTGCGTGCAAATGCTGAGCACGCTGAAAGGAGTTTCTCTAGAATCTGGCGGCCCAATGTGTGTTCTACGCTAGTCTGGCAACCTTAGGCGAAAGCATGACAGCTATTTATGTTGTCTGGCAGCATTGAGCGTAAACAAGTGTAGCCTAACAAAAAGCTGGCAGCCCTGTGCAAAATTCAACAGAGTTGCCACCTTTGAATCTTTAGTTGAGCACTTGTAGCAGCCTGGCAAATATAGTTCATAAATTCATCAAAAGCCGGATGACAAGTGCATAAGTACTTAAAAATTATGCAACACGGGCATCGGGCGAAACACAACTCCGAACTCGCAACGCCCAAGCATGGGCCTCTTATGAGAACTTTGGCAAATGTTTGTTTCTGGGTTCTTGTTGCTGTCCATTTTGTTGTTGTTGTTGTTGTTTTTGTTATTTTTGCTGATGCTTTGATTGTTACAGGGAAACGCAAGTGGCTTTAACAACGGACAGCTGCTCGATCATGGCTCAAATCTCTGGATCAAACATGGTTTTCAACTGCTTGAAGCGACCTTCATATAAAATGTATAATGTACACACATTTATAAGTATGTTTATGTTTTCTTCAGCTCAATTGAAACGCCCACGGGCTAATGCGTTGATTTCTCAGGTGGCGTCGGGCACACTGAGAGTTGGGACTGCGACGTAAGAAATTGTTGTTTTGATTTGTTTGGCTCATGACAAAATGATTTCATGCTTTAGTTTATTATGAATTTCTTGTTGTTTTCTTTCTCATTTTTATTTTAAATATTCTTGTTTATCGGCGTATTTTGTTTTGGTATGTCTCTTGCGTTTTGGCAGCCAGTGCCAAAATTTCATATTCATTCATACGAAATGTTACTCAAAGTTCTTTATCATATATAAAAGGAGTATGTATGTATGTGCGTACATAGTTTATGTATAAATTTATATACATTTGTAATATATAATAATTATTATTATAACACATTGAACATTATATAACATGCATATATAAATGATGATATTAAACGCGGCTGCTAATGCTATTGTCAATGCTGATGTGCACGTTTTGTTTTGCGTGCTTGTCAATTTGATACCCTGTAATAAAAAGCGCATTGAATGACACAGCTCAGAGACTTGGATACATATATTATATATTATACTTATTTATACATATAAATAAAAGGCACCGAATGTACTTAAGGCCGAAATGCTAAATTCTTTTCTTTATCTTGAAACGAAACCTAAACCGGAAGTTAAAATTTAACCTGAAGCGAAGCATTGGGCCTAGGTTATTCATATATTTTCTAAAGTGTGAATAAAGTAATTTAGATATTTAATAATATTGAATATTTTTTGTTAAATTCAGAGAGGACTTGGCAGACAGTCGCAAAATTTAATTTTGGAATCAAGCATGCTAGCCAACTATTCCGATTGGATTTGAGGTTCTTGTGTATTTCACATATTTGAAAATCCCCATATATGTTAAATTATTAATTAATGTTATAGCTGGGGGTATCTTTTAATCGAGCTTATCTTCAACTGTATGTTTTCAACAACATGGGGGTGAACTATATTTCAAACATAATATATCTGTATGTTAACATACACACACATATACATATATATATATATAACAGAAGCCACAACCGCAATGATTTATTTGTGCACAACGGGCAAACGACAAACGGCGAAACGGCAAAAAAGTAATCAAAGTAATACAAATGAGCGCAAAATGTATAAAAATAAACAACAAACAAAACAAACAGATATACAAAAGAAGACATCAAGAGAGATGGAGAGGTAAATAGAGAGTGCGCCCAGTAAACAGCATAAGTATCTGTATCTGTATCTGTATCTGTATCTGTATCTGTAACTGTATCTGTATCTGCAGTTGAATCTGCAGCTGTATCTTCTATCCGTTAAACAAGCCGCCGTGGGATCTAAGTGAATGCTTAGAACCAGGGCAAAAGATAGAAAAATGATGGCAAATTTTGATGCATGCCGGCAGCTGTGTGAAAAATAAAACCAACAAGAACAATAAAAAGTTAAAAAATAAAATAAATAAAGAAAAAACATGAATAATAAAATAAACGCTGTGCCATGGCTTTGAAGCTATTTGCATGCGTACTTGTATTTATTTAATTTTAAATAGAAAGTAACCTCGATCGCACTTGTAAAAAACATAGGTAAATAGTAAGAAAATACATAAAAAAGGTGAAGAGAAGCGAAGCAAACATCGAGCGTAAGAGAGCGAAAGAGAGGCACGGAGGGCGGGAGAGAGAGACAGGCACAGTGAACTTGCGTTTAAGTGAAAGGCCAAAACCCAAACGGAAGCGCATACATATATATATATATATATATACAAACAAAAAAAGAGATAAAAATCTAAAAAAATTGACAAGGTGGGAAAGTTATAATAATAGTTGCTATAAGGCGCATAAAAAGATTAAAGCTGCAAACATATACACACATATATACATATATATATATATATACATATATATAGGCATATATATTTAAATTGCTTTCATTTCTTGCCGGAAGTCAACTGGAAAATGAAGAAGAAGAGTTTATAAGAGATAAAAGTAACAAAAACAAAAGCCATGAAAAAACCAACACGGAATTCCTCATGTTAATTCTAATATTAGCTGCTGTTAAAGGCCTAATGAATGTGTTGCCAGCAGAAAAGAAAGAAGAAGATGAAAAACAAAACTTTTACAACACTTGTAATTTATTGTAACGCATTTCACACGACGCGCGATGAGTGTGCAAATCAACAAGTTGGCGCACAAACCAAAAACAACATAAGCATTTACACACACACACACACACACACACACACACACACACACATGCGGACGGCCAAGCACTTGTGCGAAAGCAAAGCAACAACAAAATTTGCTGTTTATGGCCTGTCATTACAATTATTTCAATTCGGCTGAATGAAATGTCATCAGAAATGGGACATCAAAACAAACAAAGCAACGAATTAGAGCGAAGGAAAGAATAAAATCAACGCATCTACCGTTGCGTCTATTATTAATATAAATACTTAAAAGTCTACCCCAAAGTATGTACATACATATATCTTAATATTTACTTCTACCAAAGCCATTGCGTCAAAGCGAATCAGCGCATATGTTAATCTCGCACAATAACATTGAGCTATTAACAGCTGACTGTTAACCTAGATCTCAGTAAGCAATTTTTTCCCCTCTATTTTTGTTTTGTTTAAATCTGTATATATATATATATATATATATATATATATATATATATATATATATATATATATATATATATATATATATATATATGTTTGCGGCATGTTGATTTTGTGTTTTGCATTTTTAGAATAAACAAGCAGATTATTTAGCTTGATGGGTTCTATCTCTTATATCGAACCATTAATATACATATGAATTGCTGTTAAATGCACATGTACACATGTAAACAATGCAGCTGTTTAACATAAGCCACCAATGTTAGCGGCGCTTGGCAGCTCTTCCCTATTGCGACTGTTCCCATGGGAATGCCAATTGGAATGGATCGAATGTGAACATTTTAATTCATTTTAACACTGTCACTGTAAATTTGCGTTAGTTAATTAATTCATTTGTATTTTCCTATGCAGCTATTTATATACAATTTCATCTGTGTTAATGCCCAATCTGCTGTTGTGACTAAATTCCAGAAATACACGCATATATATATTAGCATATATGTTTGTTGCTGTGCAACATGTTGCGCGCGAGAGTAAAAGTGCCTTCAATTAGCCTCAATTTCGGTTATGGTTTTCACACTGGCAAAATGTGACTCTACACTAACTATAACAATCAACACAAAAATGTTTAGCACTTTTCTGTGCGTGTGTGTGTGTGTGTGTGCGTGTTGCAATTATGTGCGCGTGAAAACGTGTTAACAACTGAAAACACAGCGCAAAGCACTTGAGTTATTGCTTATGGAACGGCTACGCTTCGGACTTGGCCGGTCAGCCAGCCAGCCAGCCAGCCAGCCGGCAGGCCAGTTGGCTGTCTTGTGACTGTTTTGGCTATTAAGCTGCCGCCTGGCTGATTGAATAGTTGTCTGGCTGACTGACCCTTGACAAATTTGAGTCTCAAACTCTTGTATGGTTTGCATATTATCTAACGACAGCGACGACAGTGAGCTGTGCTCAGTTTGTTGTCAATTTGGGGCATGCTGCTACTTGTATAACACTTGGCAGCACTCTTCCAACGCGGCACGCACACATTTGCAAGCGAAAGTCTCAAAACACCAAATCATGAAATACGCATATTGCTGCTTGGATAGAAGAAAGTGGCAGCGCTGACAGCGTTGCCACTTTGTCAGTCAGTCAGTCAGTCAGTCAGTCGGTCAGTCAGAGTTTGTGCCAAGTGCGTGTCAGCAAAACAACAATTCGCAAAAGCCAAATGTGAAATGCTGCTAAATAATTTCACTCAATCAAAACTCTTTCTCGCTTTTTCTCGCCATCTCGCTCTGGCTCCAGCAGCTTGCATTATGTTTTCTGTCTCTTTGTGTGTGTGCGTGTGTGCATGTGGCTCCCGCATTTATATTAGCTGTAGGAAGAGGTGCCTAGCCTAGCAAAGTATATGGCAACATTTGTAATTAGGACATAGGCTTAAGAGGGCAATAATAAAGTGGGGCTTATGTTCTTTTTTAAGATTCTATGCTTCTTTAAAGCGGTATAGTATGGTATGGTTTAGGAAGCTTCTTAAACATAGAGTATAAGAGGGGTATGTTGGTTTACGAGGCTTACTGTTTTTTATTTTTTTTATACCTTGAACCCATTAAAAATCGGTATAAGGGTATATTGTATTTGTGCAAAATCCAAATGTATGTAACAGGCAGAAGGAAGCATCTCCGACCCCATAAAGTATATATATTCTTGATCAGCATCAATAGCCGAGTCAATCTAGCCGTCTGTCTGTCCGTCCGTCCGTCCGCCGTCCGTATGTATGAACGCAAGGATCTCAGAACCTATAAGAGCTAGAGAGTTAAAACTCCTAATGCGAGCGCAGATCGAGTTTGTTTCCGATAATCGATAACTTACTCCGCTTCCAAGCAATCGATAAATATCTTTATCGACATCCTGTTTCTTGGGCGATTTTGGTAAATAACAAGAGCTAGAGTCACCAAACTTGACATGTAGCTTCTAAAATAGAATATATATGCGTTTGATGTTGGAAGAAGAGGGTTCAGAGTATCCCCTAGTCGGGAGCTCCCGAGTAGAACCTTTTACTTGTCTTAACCTGAGTTACTTAAACATAGAGTATAGGAGGGGTATATAGGTGAAGGGGGCCTAATTATTTTCCCCTTTTTCGCTTTTTTTTAATCTAAATTCTCTGAGCATAGAGTTTAAGAGGGGTGCAAGAAAGGGGGGCTTCTTGTTTATTATTTTTCTTCGTTTCTTTTTTTTTTTTACAATCGATGCTCTTATTTAAGGGTATACGAGGAGTTTCATATTTTTTTTTTTTTTTGGTTTTTTTTTTTTTCTTACTTATGAAGAAAATTTGGATTGCCTATGAAATCTTTAACAGTGAAAATCTTTAGAATTATAATATAATACAAAGATATCTTATGGGCGGGCGTAAGAAATAGATACAATTATAATATTTTATTGAGTAATTTTGTTAGTAATATTTGATTCTTATTTATCCTTTAAGCTGAACAACAAAGCGCTTTCAACTAATCAAACTGAAATCCATCAAATCTGAATTCGGTTTTATTA